GTTTGTTCGTGAAGAACTCGTTATTATTATTTTTTTTATAGGTGTTGGACGAACAACTCATTTATGATTTTGAATTTGTTAAAAGAGTCAAACTGAATTGAAGTTAAACGAGTCAAACTTGAGCCAATACTTTAACTAATTCATGGTTAATCGTGCCGAATTGACTCATTTATTAAACGAGCATAGGCTTGATAACATGAGAATGCGAAATACGTGTGGCCATGCAGCCCAATGAATGGCTGTAAAAACATGGGTGATAGCCATTAATGGGCCTAAGGTGGCCGACAACATTTTTATTTGTTGGATCCACCTAAGTCTCCCATCATTCAAATATGTTCCAATTTCATGTGATGTGAAATGTGATGCACTACACATTAGTAGTAGTAGTTAGGTGAGGGTTCAAAAAATCACTGTCTTTTTTGTAACAAACTCAATTTTAACTGACTCATTTTCTCCTTGGTCTATATATTTATGGAAATTTTATTGCCTATGAGTACTGATATTTTTCAAATTACAAGACATTTTATATAGAAAATGATATTCAATTCTAATCTCTAATGAAAGAAAATAAAAAAACATTGCACATTGGGATGATAAAAACCCGTCACTATTTTTTTCATCGACAACTATGAGATGTTGGAGATTCTCATATAGAATAACTAAATTAATAAAAGACTCGACTTTATCGGCGTTGATAGTTTTAATAATGTCACACGCACAAAAATACACGTACGGATGTTTGTTGATTTAACGGTTTGAAACCCGCACAATTATGAATTTGATCATACGTCAATGTTGTAATGTGTGATACTTTGTCTAAAAACTCAACAATCGCTCAAAATCATTGTTATTACGTGAGTAAAAGAAGTGGTCCAAATTCACTATACATCGTACAACGGAAATGAATTGACTTCTCATGATTATAAGAAATCAACTAAGCCTGTGAAATTACATTATTTGAGGCATTTTTTTTATTTTTTTTTTATATCCAACGACACAAATATAATGCATGTAAATGTAACATCACGTGAAGCATCATTTCAGTGGGATACCTTGCTCATTAGAAGTTCATTGTGTTGTTATTTTAATAAATTGGAGAAAATGCGTTATCCAGTGTGTATAGACCATTTTATACGTATACTACAATTTTTGAAAACTTTTGTAAAATGCAATCACTTAAATGAAAACAATAAAAAAAATTATAACAGAGTCATAAACAATAAAACAATAAAATTTGAAATCAATGTTAAAAATAAATTACAAATCAACCATTCGCAAACAGTGGAAATTAGCATATTTGCAATAATTTTGCTTCTAATATATATACATATATATATATATATATATATATATATTTGCAATAATTTTGCTTCTAATTAGCATATTTGCGATTTATTTTTCGTAGTTCACTAGACGTGTTGGAAATAGTTTGGATTTGATTGAAAAACATTGTGATAAATTTGTTCTAGTGGAATTTTGACATGTGGCCTTAGTCTACAAGTGTATATTCACTTGCAGGTTAAATTTTGAATCTTTCGTGTTTATTTATTTTCCGCTACGTATTTTAATTTTTATGTTTATGTGAAAATCTGGATTTTTACGTACCTAAATTCTAACAGCCACGAACACCTGCAAGAACTCAATGTTGGAGGGGTTCCCGAGCGTAGAGCCTCCGATGCTTAAGTTAGTATCCATATAGAGAGATGCTCTGTAGAAAGAGTAGTATAGAATGTCTAGAGAGTGTAAAGTTGTGAAATGGTGGTACTTCAGCCACATTTATGGGGAAAAATACCTGGGCACCTCTGAGTGCCCTGCCCTAGTGCCCGCGGTCAGCCTACCCTAATCTTTAGTGCTTATTCGTTTTCTAATCACTTCCTAATCACATCCTAGTCAGTTTAAGATTCTATATTATCTTTTAAAGATTCATCCTTATCCGTTAAGTTTTCTGAGTATTTGAGATACAGTTCCTTGGTGTGGATCTCGAGTAATGAGACAAGTGATATCGACCTCAAGCAGCAAGGCAGGTGAAGCCGACCTCGAGCTGCGAGGTGGGTGCAACCAACCTCGAGCTTCGAGGTGGGTTAAGTAGACCTCGAGCTATGAGGTGGGTGCAACTGACCTCGAGGTACGGGAGGTCGACTTCCGGCGGATCTATCATAAAATCGTTTATTTACAACGTCATTCTTCATATTGACAAAAGGGGAAGCCACTACCGTCGCTCTTTTCTCATTCTCGGACCATCTTCGGGGTCCTAAGGTTACTCCTCTTCACCAGTGTCAAGATATGACCTTCACCTGTGCAAACCTCAAATCACGAGGTTTAGTGAGGTCGACTAAGACTTACATCGCTAAGTAGAAGCTGCTATCCTCATTCTCGTCTTCTTCACAAGTTGCTCCTAAACCGTCCTTAGGTTGCTTGTCTTCTTGCCGACATCGAGCCATTATGTGGCTGCTCTTCCTTCAAGCCTTTGTATCATTAGCCGTTCTCACAAGTCGACTCGAGGATCTTGAGTCGTTATCCATGAATCTATTTAAGGACCTCGAATTATCATTATATCGAGTCGACATGCTTAACCCGAATCGTCATAGACAGCTCGACTTACCGCCTGGTCGAGCTGTTGTTGCCGGTCTATGCAAGTATATATGGCTATATCATCCTTATTAATAAATTAAAATTTTGATAAGCCTAATCAGCTAAATATCAATTTATAATATTTAAAAATATTTTATATACATACAATGTTAAAACAATTGATAATCCATTCATTCTCTACTGGTGTAATTCTTAATTGACCCTGACTCGGGTCATGCTATAAGCCTTATAACAACACGACACAACAACATATGATATGTGACATAAATACATAGAAACATTTATCGTATTTTACTCATTAAAACACTTTTAAAATCACCCATAAGTAACATTCACATTGTTTCGGTTAAAATTTTCCCAAATTATTATGTGAAAGCTTTTTTTATATAGAAATGAAGTCTAGACCAAACTCAGAACACGATGTTTTTTGTCAAGTCTATCACAGATCACTGTTTGATGTGATGATTACTTATATTTAGTGACTTAAAATAAGTTAGTTTTGACTATTTAAATGTGATAAAAAGTTCAAGTGTGAAATTCCAAANCTTTTGTCTTTAATAGCACGTCAGCAAGCAATAATTTGAGCAGTTCCTAATTTAAAATTGCCACCACAATGAACACTTAAGCCCACTGATGACCTGTTATTAATATGAAAATGAAGTTAAATCTCATAATTTGGTTAATGGCAGTGAATTGCAAATTACCATGGTTTTATTAAATGCCTTTCGTTCTTGATTTTATCCCATCAACTCCAATTAAACAATTTTTTCTTATCAGTAGTTTTTAAGTTATATTGTTATGTACTACTTTCATCAATAGTTTTTTATCATCACTTCATCATTTTAGAAAAGAAAAGGAAAAGAAATGTCACATTATTCAATAATTGTACATAACATGCTTATGAAAAAAGATACACTGTCTAAAACACTGAAAATGTGGAAGGTGGTAACTTTTATAAAGTTTAATCCAAAAGCAAACAAGTAATAGATCTATGAAAAATGGAAATTAGTTATATGATCACAAATTAATTTTGATATTTTTCATTATCTACAAAGAAATGTCTTGTATAGTTCAAAAAGCTGGTGCAAGTCCAAAAGTGCAATGGATAAGTCTGGAAAAAAACTGTAATTATAGGAAAAAGATCTGCTCTTTTTATCTAAAGATTCTTTTACAAATCTTGTTTACTTTCACGCAGTCACATCTCACATGCCTACAGTAAAAATCAAAAAAAGGAAAACGAAAAATAAAAATGAAAATTACAGTTTATACAAAACAAGAAAATTATAATTACTGATAATAACACATTTTTGCTTTAAACCATCCTGTTTTTGTGTAGAGTCATAGATGAATAGATGATGTCTGTGTTATAGACTTATTATCTGTCTTGTTTGCAAGCTGACAAATCTGATCCTATTCAAGACATCTTTTTTTGTATGATTTCATCTACTTTTTAAATATATATATATATATATATATATATTTTGTCCTATTCATGATATTTTTGAATGGGAATAATACACATTTAATTTGGCATGCCTTTCGGTAAGTTAAATTCATGACAATCTTTATTAGGCAGTGCAGTGGCCTTAATGTCCCTTGATATCAATTATTTTTTAAAATTAATAATGAGGCATTTTTATTTGTTCTCTATATAAATAATGGAGCACCTCACCACAAGTTGAAACAAAAAATGGGTGCGTTTTGCCCTGTCATAAGGCAATATATTATAGAGTGTTGTGAAAACTTTTCACTTTGAGTGAAAGTGGCTTTTTTTTTAATAAAGAAATGAAAATTGTATGACTAGATTTTTGTAAGGCTTGTGATGAAAATTTGATGTTAAGCTGTTAAAATGAGCCACCCTTTCTAGAGTTCGATTAATGATTCGAGCCTGAGTTCGACTCAATAAGATCTCTTTCGTATTACACGAGTTAAATTGTAATTAAAAATTTTGAAACCTATTTCCTTCTCAACCAAAAAAGCTTCTTTTTTTTTTCAAGAAATACAAAGGTTGGCATGGTTCAAGTTTCTGTTTTTCTTTGAAAATATATCAAATTTAAAGTGCCCATTTCAGAAATCCTAATGAAAGAAATGTAGATAAATAAAGATAAAGAATGCAGAAGTGGTCTTGCACTGTTGCTGGTGTGGTGGTGAGGACAATTAAGTAAATGAAATATTGGGCTTGGTGGACTAACTTCCTTTTTATTATGATTTAGAATTAGAATTTATAAACTAAATAGTGGACCTCTTCTATTAAATTTCCTTTTTCATTTTTGGTTTTTGGGGTCTCTCTTGTACAGGGCTCTTTTTAGCAAGAGTTGAGGACATCAGGTTACTGCCTTTTCGGATTCTTTTAAGCATTGCAAGTCAAGAAAACAGAGAAATAAACACGAGATTCTTGTCCAAGACAAAAGGGCTTGTCTGAATCTACTATTATTTGCGTCTGTTTTTTCCTTCTCCAGGTCTCTTCCTCTCCCTCTCAAGCGCTGACCTTATAATATCTTGTATTATTGTCTCTTTGATTGTGTTTGAGTGAGGGATCAGGTGTTATTTACATGGCTGTCTCCCACTGACTTGTGTTTGTTTTTTAGTATTTGGCAATATTGTACTCTCTGCAAAAATACTGCTTATACTTCGAATTTAAGCTTGTGACGAGTCTAAAGTTGGAGCCTTTAAGTTGCCCATGTCTTTATATCTTCTTAAAATTCAAGAATCAGTCCAGGGTTTGATTGATCGAAAGTGAAAAATGGAGTTGTTTCATTTGATCTTGCTGTCTTGTGAGTTATAGCCCAGTTAGATTTTTCTACACATCATTGTCTTAGTTTTGCCTTCGTGGATTAATCTTTCCCTGTAGTTCGTCAGCGAATAGAATATGTCAGTACTTCAAAAGCAGTGTTTAGCTGCAGGATTTATGTAAAATGTTTTTTGAAGTTTTCGTTTGGATCGAGTTTTCCTTCATTATTGAATATCAGTTTAGTTAGTGCTTCAGATACATTTTTTTAGCTGAAATTTAGTATCTATTTACCTAATTATTCTTCAGGGGTGCAAGAATCTGGGCTCCTCAAGTGAGGGTAACCACTTGATTATTATGTAGTTCCTAAATGATCAAGTATGTTAGAAAGCCAAATTGCATTAAAGAAGAACTTAAATGGAGTTTTTTCATTTTTTTTTTTGCTAATAAAATTGTAAGATTTGTATCTAGAATATTTGTTGGTATCTTGTTCAGGCCACTGTTCATGTAGCTAAGTGTTGAAAACAAATGTCCGGTAATGATAATAATTAATAAGATCATGTTCTATTTAGAAACCCATAGCTACACTTTGTTTTATGCTTATTCCATGTAGAAGATAAAGTTATTATAAGAAACCCATAACTTAAACTACATTATCGTAAGTGCTTCATTGGATCAGAACAATGTATCACTGTTTTTGCAGGTAAATATCTGTGCCTGAATAAATATTCGAGTGCATAATACGTTGAACTAGTTATTTGAAAGATTGATTCTTGAATAAGCTGCTGCAGTACTTATTTGCTCGTGTAACTAATCATTTTTTTTTCTCTTCTCAAGTGTTTGGAAGTTTTTCCGTACAGTGGTTCATTATTGCTTCCATATGAACCAGGTAAATTATTTCATCAAAGAAAGCCCTCTCAGATTCACTGTTTAAGATTAAAGTTCTCGGCTTCACTTGGTGCCAAAAAGAGTAGGAAAGAATAAAAAAAAATCAAGTTATAAGATGCAGAGCCTGTCGAGTAAAAATAAACACCATGATCATTCCATGGGTCATTCATATGCAAGCTCGTATGGTGGCCATTTGTCTCTTTGGTTCCCCGCCAAACAGAAACAACTTTCTCGACCAAACGGTGTTGCCGCTAAGCTTGACTCAAAATCTGAATACAATCGCCATGCAAAGTATTTATTGGAGTCTGGTTATCAAGAAAAGGATCAGTGCTCGCCTATGTCAACTGGACAGTCTAATTTTGAAGCCGCCCCTTGTGTAAAAAACAGCTTTCATGAGCAAAATGTCTTGTTTCAACCAGGTAAATAGTTTAAATGTTGAGTTTGATTATTATGCCACTTTTTTTTTTAGAAAAAAAAAAATTATTCACTTTGCTCTTTTCTCGGTTTGTAAGCATTTTTTGTTTCTAGCCCGTTTTTCTGTATGATTACTGATAAACATGGAACCAATGTGAGTTGATTTTTTTTCTTTTCTTTTCTCCTGTTTATTATTTTCGATTCTTCTTAGCACTGCTAATTTCAAGCGGACTCCTTGTTGGAGAAAAACATAGTGTTTATTCAAGGACATGGATTGAGTACACCTTTCATGCTTATATAGTTCATAAAAATTTGGAGTTGGCGTATGGTGAAATTATGTTGATGACTTCCATATTGAGAAGAAAGAATGTGCCGACCTATCATACAATGTTTCACTAATCGAGCTTTATATTGGAATATGATACCCAGTTGTATTGGATATAATTATATTTCTTTTTGTCTATATTTCCGGCTGTAAATAGGTTTCCTCGAAACTTGTAAGAAGAAAGCAGATCTGCCAAATAGTGGAACAGATTACCTTGGCCATCAAGTTCAAATGGAGCATCATAATGAGTCACTGGTTGGTTACACATTTTCTTCTAAAAATTTTAATAATTGAAGCGCTCGATCGAAAATCATTTTGCTGAAATTTCTATGTAATCCTATTTTCACTCGTAGGATTCTGCATCTTACCCTTTTGGTGAATCGTATTTCGGAAAAATAGCGACTGTGTACGACCCAAATCCTGTTGTAAGTGTCCAACCACTTGCTCTCGTCTTTTTATACGTGGCCAACATAATTCCATATGCTAAAATGCTCTTATCGAGTAAGTTAGCACATAACAGTGTTTTTATAAGTAGTAGCACATGCGGGTACAAATAGATTTTTTCATAATTATTCTTTCCCTTTTTTCCCTTTGCATTGTAAAGAATTGAACATCATATATTGTACTCTCGACTCTTTTAATAAGCGCGTACTGTTTTGGTTCTAACCAGGTTTACCCTCAAGTGATGGAAATTGCATCAGCAAGAGCTGTGCTTCCTCTCGAATGTACAGAAAGCATGGTTCCAATTTACGTCAATGCAAAACAGTACCACGCCATCCTCAGGCGCCGAAAAATCCGAGCAAGACTCGAGGCTCAGAATAAGATAACTAAATCTAGAAAGGTAACTTAAAAGCCTCGACTTGATTAAAGAAAATAAGAAACCCACCGTTTCCTCAACACGAAAAGCGAGGAGAAATCGAAACCCCCGGGCCAAGAATCCTGCAAGAAGTCTGAGAACAACAGCAGCTGGGGGGCCTCCACCCCCTCTGCCTCGTCCGATGTCTCGTGCATCTTCAATAACAGCGACGACATTTTCCCGCCGCCCGACCTCGGAATCTCGATCGACTCCGCTGAGAGATATATGCGGATTGGGACCCGTGCCTGACTGCCTCTTCCTTGCACGGTTATAAATTTTAACCGGCACCTCATCCTTGGCTAAATTTTTGTACAACTACATTGTATTGTGGCTTTGTTAGCTTTTTTTTTTTTTTTTTTTGGAACTAATGATTTGGGGAGGACCTGTAGAACTTGGAGTTATGCTTGCTTAGTTTTCTGTATGTTGGACGATGCTTGGAGGTTCTTTGTTACTCTATAATCTGTGTGGAGGTTCTTTGTTACTCTACAATCTGTGTAAGTTTGTGTATCGTGCGCGCTCGTTTATTTCGTATGTTTGTGTTGTCTCTTTGGCTTGTGCTTTTCATCGTGTTCACCTTTCGTTTTCATGGATCGCTACAAAAATAAACCCGGAGTTGGGGGGTACGTAGCCATGCTATTCGACATAATGCAATCGCCGGATTTATTACCGTTAAATCAATAATGGCAGTACATATGAACTGAGGCAACTTTAAGCTCATACAAGCGCACTTGATAGCAGTGAACCTAAAACGATAACAAGAAAAGACATGGAAAACTTACATACATTTCTACACTTTTTACAAAATTTACATATGACACCTAATCCACTCAAGAAAACCAGAGCCAAAAAAACACAAACTACCACCCAAAACAGGGCTCCCCATCCAAAAACAAACAAAACACCAACTTCATCTCATACACCAAACCTCTCCGAACTCTTGGTCGACAGCCGCTTGAGAAACTCGTATGTCGTGATCATTGTCGTGGCTGACATCGACATCGAGGCCCATCTTGGCCCGAGTCCCCTATAGCACGCCCCCAAACCCCCTTCCCTCACCAAATCCCTCACCGTTTGCATAACCGTCATCGATTTCCCTTTCCCCCCACACGGTTCTCCTCCGTCCAAAACCTGAAGCCTCGTTTTAATCGTGTCGAGCGGCATCGTCACAAGCACCGAAGCCCCGCTGGCCATGGCTGCACTCACCCCTTGCACTGCCACCACCGCCGCCCTATAACCGTTATTCTCGGTCTTCCTACACCCGATCGACCCCCAAATCACCCTATGCGCAACCGAATACGAAGCCCACCAGACGGCATTCGAAGGCGCGTAAGTCAGAATCGATATCCCGAACCCACGGTACAAACCTCGAAACCCATCCATATTCACAATCTTCCTAAATGCATCTATGCCGCCATTGTACCTCTTCAGTCCCGAGCCTCCCTGCACCATCAGCCTCTGGCTGATAACGTCGATTGGAGTCCACACCAGCTGGGCGGCCATGGAAGCACAAAGGCCAGCCGCAGCATTGGCTATGGTGGAAGACGAGGCTTCTGAAAGGCCCAGGTGGCCGCTGGCCATGTTGCCCACGTTGCTCTTGGTCACCTCGAGGGCACCCATGTAGAGTGCTCGAGCGGGTATAGTCCCCATGAGGGAGGTCCCGAATCCACGGTAAAAGCCTCTCGGGCCCTCGTTTTTGAGAATGGTGGATGCCATTTTCAGGCAGGACGAGCTGTGTAGCATCACCTGCAGGCGGGTTTTCAGGACGACCATCGGGTAAAGAGTACCGGAGACACCCGAGAAAAGGGCAGCGCCAAGGAAGAAGAACTTGGATTTGTCGAGCATTTCCCAGTCTACGTCGGCTGGAAGATGGATTTCGGATGCAGAATCGTCTTCTGCCGCAGTTAAGCTCATTTTCGCCACTTTTCTTACCTTCTTTTCCGGATTGTTACCTACTCTCGATCAAAAGAACTTAAAACTCCCCAAAATCTATCTATTTGTATGCCTATCAATAAGAAAAAGAAAAAAACACCTAATCGTGATTGTCAGAACAAAGCACCAAAGAGAAACAAACCCATGACCTCATTTTTTTCTCTAGTGTTATCAAGATGGTGGTGCGAGCTCAAATAACAGAGGAAGCCTAATTCTACATATAAAAAACAGGGGGCCAAATTACACATCCTTTTTGCGTTTGCGCATACAGATTAGAGAGCGAAAATGAGTGAGCACAAAGAGATCCAGCATTTCCTCACCGGGAAATCCGAGCTGACGGCGAACATCTACGACAGGCTTCTCATTTTCCGGGAAAAGGAAGATAGGAATTGATTGCGTATATATTTACTGAAAATTGGAGAAAAAAAAAGGTGAAGAGAGAGCCAGCGGAAGTGTGCGTGTGTGTGTGCTGATGGACTTTGGGGGCGAATTTGTTCGAGGGTTTTGCGGATCAGGGGTGTGGCGGACACGTGTCGGTCATCGTCTCGAGAACGTTTTGTTGGGTTGGGCCGTTGGGGATAGGGTGTGAACAGGTGCATTGGAATTGCGGTGGGGATGCGGGCCGCTGATTGATTTGGTGCCAACTGGCAGCCAAACTCTGGGTTCTGATGGCTGCTACGTTAATGGGCACAAGCCCACAATATTGTTTATTTGTTTTGTTTGGCAGCATATGTTATGTTTATGATTTCATTATAAAAATATAAATACTTTTATTTATTCTTTTTTACTAAATAAATATTTTTTTCAAGCACACATATATATATATAGTATACGAGCTCGTACTAGTATTGTATATATCACTATGCTTTTAGAGTTTTGACTTAGTCAAATTTGTTAAACTCTAAAATGACAATAAAATACTAATTATAAAAAAACTTCAATAAAGTAACATTTTCATTTGAATAGATAAAATCCATAAAATGACACAATAATATGAATTTGAGCTGACTTGTTTATAATCGCATTTTCATTTCTCAGATCATGGTACCTGAGTGAATAATAAACATAAATAAGAATCATATATTATCATAATTTTAATTTTATCATCATCAACTCACACGTCATCACACAACTCATACAAATAACACTACATGACCGATGTTGACTTTCATTGTGAAAAGATAGCCCAAGCACGAGAACATTAAGAGCATCTTCAATGGTATCTTGTCTATTTTGAGTTGCATGACATGAAAGAAGGAGATTAAGAAATTGTGTCTCCAATGATTAAAGTTAAAGATGGTTTAACTTGACATGTGTAAATTTCTAATTGGTTGAAAAGAAGAAATAAATTGAATAAATAATATAATATGTAGTAGAAGTTGTCTAGAACTAATTCTACATCTAGAAAGACTTCTAGTGATAAGGCTCTTTAAGACTCGGAAAGAGATTTTTTTACATAATTTTCTATAGTTTGGCTTGTTAAAGCTCGAGATCGACTCGTTAAGGCTCGATCTTGCTTTGTTAATATTGATAAACGAACTCAAACTCGATTTTTTAGTTGCTTACTTAACAGGATGAACTGAACTCAGCACGTTATGGGAGCTCGAGCTCGGCTCAACTCGTTTACATCCTAGTGCTGACACCATAACTACATGTTTTTTATCGGGTCACCCCCAAATCAAATCACTAGACTAAGGCTCAAGGTCAAGAAGATGATGTTAGGCATTGTTTGGGGCCCAATTCAAAATTGCTTAGCCACCACTTATTGTAAGCAATATATCAAAGCAGCACCCATGAAGCTTCTCTCTACATAATAGGAAGCTCACACAAGAAAGAAAGTTGGCTAAGATAGCTCCCCTCCACTTATCACTATCCATCCCCTCAAATTTTCTAACTTATAAATACAACAACATATTTTTATCATCAATGGACACTCAAACATGGCAGAATATTATCAAAACTATGCAAAAGCACCACCTATGAATGCTCCGAATAACGAGTCCGCCTTCGACGTTTCCGATTTTTTTGAGTTCAACAGCTGGGCCGAGCACGTTGATCCCCCGTTTTCTTCCATGTCAGCAGCTGACTCATGTGATGGTATGAATCCTCGTATTGATTCAACCTATATAAACAAGATGGTTGAGAACTCGAGTTGGATTGGTGACAATAGCAGTTTACATGAAGAGATCATGATCAATAATAGTAAGTAAAACTAAAATTGTATTAGATGTTTGAGTTTTTAATGTGTTTAAATGTTGTACACATTGGCTTCTCAATGGAAATCAAACACTGGAATTTTTATTGTTGGATAAACACCCATTCAAGTAGGCTAATAAATGTTCAAATTCAATGTTGTTTTGACCAGTGGATAATGGTATTGGCAAGAAAGAGAGAGGAGAAAAAGTTGCTTTTAAGACCAAGTCCGAGGTTGAGGTACTCGATGATGGCTTTAAGTGGAGAAAGTACGGTAAAAAGAAGGTTAAAAACAGCCCGAATCCAAGGTATGTGAAGAAAACAATGTCGTATATCAGATTTTTAAGTCGATTCAACGTATCTATGGTCCATGTTTTTAAGGTTTGGTTTTGAAGTAGTCGAATTATTCTGAGCATTCGCATTTCACATATGTTAACTATTGCGATAATGTATAGTTGTTGATATTTAATAGCAATTAGTAGAAAAATCAGAAGCATAAGTTTTGCTTTTGGAAACAGCACTAAAACTTCATTTTCAAACAGCTCTCTTAGCAAATGCTGATATGTAGTTGAGTAATTAAACATTGATTTGTGATGAGAAGCATAGTAATGACAGAGGCTTTCTTGTAATGAACTAACAGGAATTACTACAAATGCTCGGCTGACGGTTGCCCTGTGAAAAAGCAAGTCGAACGGTGCAAAGAGGATCCAAGATATGTGGTCACAACTTACGATGGTGTCCACAATCACCAAGGTCCTCACTCGTGAATTTCATTAACGATTATAAACAAAAATTAAAGGAGCCTTCAAGTTATTATACAGATCACGGTCCCGGTTAGCTAGCTACAGATAGGTTTAGAAGGGAACACTTGAGAGTAGATAGATTCCCTTTGCTTTGCAATGGGACAAAGCTTGAAGGATAATAAAGAAAGTTCATCTGTATTTAGTTATACACACACAGGCACTTATGTTTCAGGCTCTGTACGGGTATGAATCCTCCCTCCATTATGTTGTTTTCGATTTAAAACTAGCAGCAAACACATATAAGGTTTTGCTTCGTGTCATTTTAGGAGATTTCCACGCGCAAATTTTTGGTGGGTTTAATCGAAACAATAACAGGCTTTGTTTTTGCCAATTTGTACATTTCTGTAACAATAAATAGTTAAAATACACTGGTTCTGCTGTGTTTCTTAAATGCACCAGCATTACGCAAAGACCTCAACAATACAAAAACATTTCAAAATACGATTTATACCGAGTGTTCTTCTTCTCAAGGTCACTTGACGAAATCAGTAGAAAATACAATGTCTGGATTTCTTACATGAACACTGAACGCAACCTTCTCATCCCACGTTTCTAATTCGTCTCGACTAGGCAAAGATATGCTCCACAAAACATCCTCGGACAACGATTTCCTCAATAACCCATTCGAATATTTCACAACAGCATTAGAGCTCGAAATAAGATTCTTGTTCGATTTAGCCAAGCCACTGGATAACAACCATCGAGATCCCAACTGGTTTTGTTGTCTGCTACAGCCCCAAATCTGGCTTTTACTGCCGTTTGTAACCTTCAGACCAGCAAGATGAGCTTCCGAAACCTTAAACAACGGTCTGTAGACTCCTCTGTTCTCCTGTGAAGAAATCCTTTCCACATGAAATAGAGTAAGCATTGCGGGCCCCACCATCTCGTAATTACGGAATGGGTCTCTGAGCTGCGCTTTGAGACCCATTTTGAAGTTTTTACTAGCAGACACAGCAGCGCACATTTTATTTTCATCATCAGCCTCGTTTTGGATGCAAAATTCACTGGAATCGAGTCGTATCCACTCGTCCAATGGCAAAAAGTTCTTCATAAACCCATACGCATCGATAGAAGCACTGCCAGAGATAACGTTATGTGAAGATTCTGTGGATCGTATTTTTATGCTCGAAGGTGCTTCTTCGTCTGTCATGCCAGACTGAATTTTTAAGCCTTGGAGTATAAGGCCTTCGATGTTTGTTATGGACAGAGGCACTAAATCTTCGAAAGATACGTAATCAGGATCTACTGGCTCGGAATTAGAGCAAGAAAAGTTTTTGAGATTACGAGAAAATGGTGGATTTTCGGTTTGTTTTTCCTCTTGAGACTCGACGCCATTACCCGAGTCCCTCTGCAAAGCTCTGTAGATTGTTCCAAAGCAGGAAAGTTAAAATAATGATTTAGTGAGTACAGTGATTGGAGAAGAAGAATTACAAATATTTTCCTATTTGGGGGGTAATTTATAAAATGGTGAACTACAGAAACAAACATATGCTAGATTTAGCCTTATTACAGAAAGGATACCAGAACTTTAAAATTACCAAAAAAAAAATAAAAAAATCCATGAAGTTGTATTAAGCTTTACCCCCTTCATTAGCAAAAAAAATAAATTAAACAAAAACAAAACACACACTGCAAAATTTCTAAACTTACAACGGTAAAACATATTATAGTTAACTCCCCGGGACATATAACACGGAATGAAACCACACAGGTTGTTTTTGTGAATTTAAAGTTCCTCACATAATTTTTGCAACTATTTCTTAACTGAGCAAAAGGACATCAAATAACATACCTATTAAGAGCACATGATCCGGATTCTTGTTCCGACAAAACCTCCCGTATTGTCTTCCCCGTGACATCTTCCAAAGGCATCAACTCATTCACCTGAATACACATCTTCTCAAATCCTCCTGATGCCCAGCACTGTAATATTTCCGTCACTGTAAATCCCAATTCCGGGGGTAAAACAACGGGAGCAGAAACTTGAACAATTAATCTGGCACCATTATTTGCATTTGCAAAAATCAGAGGATTCATTGATCTCAGATAACCGCCATCCCTCGTCCTAACCATCGAGCCCACACCTTCTTCAATTGGAGGTAACTTTAAAGGCTCCTCTGCAGGAATATAGATTGGACTTCCAAATCCACCGGAATTAATGTGCGGAGAATTCAGAAAAGCCGTCTCACTTAGACCCCATTCATGCATCAAAGCTTCGGTTTCCAAATTTTCGAGCACTTTAGCATCTCTTCTGGTCCTCAACGTTGATCCATTCACCGTATTGTGATCCTTTTTAACGGCTTGAATGGTAAACATCTGGTCAAAGTCATCTGGGCACTCGTCATCTTGACTCTGGTCAATGTTCAACATGTCGAGAAAATCATTTTCGATCAATTCCGAAACATCGTCCAAGTTGATCGGTGATTTAGAAGGCATCATGTCATAGAGAGACGTGCAAGATTCTTCAAAAGCTGGCTCTTTAACATATTCTTGCTCCTCGTGATTGTCAGCATGCTTCGAGTTAGATTTCACACACTCGTCAAAAGCAGTCTCCTCATCATAAAAAATATCAGAAACATTTATGGTTTCTATAACGGTATTGTCGAACTCCTGGTTGACACATTTCTCTAACTCCATCTTATCTTCCTTGGATATTTCTATTCCCTGCTCGATTACGTCAAAAGAAATGGTTTCACTAAACTCAGAATCAAGCGAGTGATCAAAATCAATCATGCAACCCATCTTTTTCTTGTCTAGTTTTTGGTACAATAAAGTAACCGAGCGCGAAAGCTCCGACTCTTTATCAAATTCAGCAAAATGATTATTCCGTCCACCATTATCAGGAACTTTAACAAAATAACCCGGCTCGAATGAGTTACCGCCCAATACGGAAAACCCAAAACTAACATTCAAGATTGCCCCTTTGGCTTCGCCCGTGAGCTTAAAGCTAGTGGTCCACTGCCCCGAGCAACCCTTATCCCCCTCTAATGCCTCCACTGTAATCGGAAGCAATCTGCTAAGGTCAATCCAGTGGTTCCCGAGATCGAGCTCCGTGGGGCCCACCACAGCAACACCTATTGAAAAGATCTTGGGCTTGTACTTCACTAACCCACTGGGCCCGCTTCTGCTGCCATAGACCGTACACCTGTGCATGAGGGTCTCCTCGAACTCGGCCAAGCCCGAGCGGGCCCTAGCGGGCCGAGTTCTCGACGAGTCGTTTTTTCGGGCCCAAATCACGCACAGGCTGAGGTCATCAAAATTTGGCTGCAAGCCCTCCACGGCATGGACATGCAGAAAGAAACAGCAGTTAAACCGATTGTTACGGATGTGGGCCAGAGCCTTAAGGGGCTTCCATTTCCATAATGAAGATTTCTTGTCCTTGTTCGACCAACTTTCGATGGTGACACATGGGTTAGATACCATTACGCCAGTTTTGGCAGGAATACTTGTACCACATTCATGAGACGAATTGAATGGCTTATGTGGTGGGGCTTGGTGCAGATACAGAGCTTTGCTAATCTCTTCAATGTCGCGCAATAAAAGCCCGCAGCTTAAATCTTCATCTTCATCTTCATATTCACGTGCTGTAGATTCAACTTCCGACGACATGCTGTAAAACCTCGGACTAGCTGTAATAAGAGATTTGAAATGCTCCTAGTAAGTGAGATCTGAAATGGAAATCAAATTAGCATCTAACTTGGTATGGGCTTACAAACTCGAGGATTTGGTAATCGAATGACTACGTAGCGGAAAAAATCAAATTGTAGCTCTACAAGATTGACTCTTGAATCTTCAAAAATGGGAAATTATGGCAAAAAAAAAAAACAACAACATCAACATAGAATTTGCCCAATGACCCAACAACACGGCAGATGATTAAGAAAACATACTAACAGAAAATTCCCGTCGAATAATCCTAAAGTTCAACAAATGACGCAAAGCCAACACACAGACGATAAACCTCTGATTTGAACCCAACCTCATTTCGCATATATTTGAGGATCACACAGTCATAACCCTTCAATTGTTGAACCCAGATGCATAAACACGCATAAAATGAAATGAAAAATACACAACGATTGACCGATAGCAATTATACAACAAATACCAATTTGCAGAATCTTACAGAAATTTCAACCAAGATAGTGGAATGCGTTGACTCTCACTCTCGACTGCTGAGCTGAAAATGATGGTTTTTTTCTTTACTGCCTCTCTGTATCGTTTTTTCTCTCTTCTGGTTAAGGATGGCAAGTTTTAATGGCGCCGATACGACTTTCCTTGGTGGATGTCTCTCACTCGGCGGAGGCTGAATTAAAGCAAGAATCGATTTTTTGTCTCGTGTTTTCAGCTGTTCACCTAATCAAATTGTTCGGCTTCTGATTGGATGGAAAACCGAAAACATGCACATTTTTCTAACTTAATAAATACTATTACAATACTGTGTCCTACACGGTGTTAAACTAAAAAATATATTATAAAAATTATTGTTAAAATAAAGATTTTATTTAAAAATTTTGATGGATTAATTAATAAAAAATAGAGAGAAATAGACTGCAGATTTGTAAATTATAATTTAGGAGAGAAATATGAGAACAATAAAAGTATTTCTCAATTAATATATTTATGTTTAATGTAGTTATATATTATGAGTTTTAAAAGTATTTAAATTTTCAACTACTTTTTTCTCATTAATTTTATATTTGAAGAAAAAAAAATTAGTAAGCACCCGTTTAATATACGGGTGTTGTACTAGCGATTGAGAAAGGATCATATGAGAATGACTCTTAATGCGAGAAATGAGAATGAGTCTGAATCATTGAATCCAACATATTAATGGTTAGGATGAAGTCAGATTATGATCAATTATTAATGGCAATTTAGTAATTGTTTATCATGTTATAGTCAATTATGTGTATTTGACCAATAATAAGGTGTTGTTGTCTTGAATTAACAACTTAAAATTTAAAACAGTCGATGCCAAGAAAATTAGGATATTTATTTAGTTTGATTTTATTCGTTATAATCACAAGAGTACAGAAGTCGGTTTTAGGCTGAAAACCGAGATTGTCTTTTGATTGTGTACAATGTGATCGGAAAGATCCTCGTACTATCATAAATTCTGCTATTTATAGTACGGTGACTTTTGTCTTCTTGCTCGAAAATAGATAAAGATGCATTTAATGTTGAGCTGCTTCGCTTGAAGCGGCGGGAAACATCAATGATTGCCTTTTTGTTTCGTTGGTCCAATCAGATGTTTCTAATGATTACTTTCTGTTGGAATATTCAAACTTTGTAATAGTCGGTTGACCTGAGATCGGTTTACTTGTGTTGGCTTCAGATGTCGGTTTCGGTTCTTTTGAAGACCTTTCGGAAGTTGGATCTTTTGTAAGTCGGTAATTCTTCAGAGGTCGGTAATTTGTTCCAATACATACCGACTTGTAGTAAGTTTACTTTCTCGCGAATCTACTTCTTCAATGATACGATTAATCTTCATCTTCAATCTCTGTTACTGGATTTGATATCAACAGTGAGGCCCCCGACATCAGTAAGTATTTGAAGCTTTTTAAATGGTTGCTGATGTCGTATGTTGTTCCACTTTATTCCGATCTTGTTTTGCGTTGTTTACCGACATGAGAACACTTTGCTTTATTTGACACTTATGGCATTTGATCTGACATGGCGGCTCTTAAAAGACGTGTCCGCATTAAATGGGTCCAACGGATATAATTTTATAACGACATGGCGTTTCAGGATATGGCCACGTAGGTTAATAATTACTGTAACGCTATGTCCTTTGAAGACACGTCCGTTACACGCGCCGTTTCCGGATACTTCTAACGGTCATAAATCAAAACCTATAAATTAAAGTCGGTTTCGATGCGCGAAAATCTTATGTACCTTAAACTTCTTAACTTTGTCTTGTGCTGTGTCTGTAACCTTTTCCTTTGAATATTCTTTTCGTGCATTTGTGCTTTTCGAAATCTTCCTGTCAATCTAAAGCTCTCGAAAGTGTCAGTAAGAATTTACCCTAATCCTTTCCGTTTTCTTGTTCTATTTCGAATTTTTTCTTTTTTGTTATCGATTTCGGAAGGAAAAAATGTCGACACGAACTGAGGATAGTAGCAGTAGGACGATTTCTGATATTCCGATTTTAACCGATGAGGATTTGGAATTGCCTCTCGAGTATTATCGATGGGATCCTCTGTTGGTGAAGCGACTGAATCTGAATAGAGATATTGTCGAAATAGACAAGAAAGTTGAAGAAGATGCGATGTCGCTTCCTGATTATTGGAGACGTCCAGCTCGTCGGTGGCCTGAACCAATTGATGAGTACAGAGGGGAACCAAGCATTCTTACGGATGCCGACATTGTGATCCTTCATGAGGAGGTCTATATTCCCTCGTCGGTCAAACTGTTCGCGCCTTATCCAGGTGAAAGGATCACTTGTCCACCTCCAGGTTGTGTTGGCGTTTTTGCCGACTCGCTGAGGTCTGGACTTCGGTTTCCCCTCCCAGCTCTTATTACAGATTATTTGAGGAATTGAGGAATTGGTCTGTGTCAGATAGCACCAAATTCATGGAAAAGAATAATCGGTCTTATGGTGCTATCGAAGGAGAAGGGTTGGGACATGCCGACCGTTGAGGAAATTAGGAGTTTGTATTCATTTCGGCGATGTACTGATAGGCAAGTTGCAGACCCATTGATTTGCTATGCCTGTGCGGGAAGGCCTCAAGAAGGATTGAAAATTGGTGATTTGATTTCTGACATTCCTGAGTCGCTCCATGGATTTCAAGAAGAGTGGCTATGGGTCGGAGGAGACTGGCAGACTCCAAAATTTTCGAAACCCTTAATTGATGGGATGACAATCCCCATCAATATTAATTCTTCAGTTTGTAAGTTTCTTGTGTTTTTGTTTTTCTGAGTTGCTCTGACCTCGTTTATTTTTGTACTAACAGGTCTTGTTATTTGCAGCCAAAAGCAAGGGATCAAAACTCGGTTCGATTTTAAAGGAGAGAATCACCGAGTTGTTCAAATTGAAGAAGGCTCAGCGTAGCTTTAAGTTGATTTTGAAGAACACGAGACTGAAAGCTGCTGGTCTCTGTCCCGAAATTTCTGACAGTTCGTTCCAACCAGGTTAACTTGAATAAAACTTTTGTTCATCTTATTTGAAGTCGGTTGTCTTCGGGATTAATAATAACTCGATTTTGTATTTGCAGTTTATTATCCGCTCATTGGGGTTCTCGGTTTCAAGACCACTCGTGACGCAAGAGCTTTCCGCCAAAGCAGTCCGAATTTAGACCTCCGAACCAAAGTCGGAAAAAGCAAGGAATTACGTCTGACAGGAATGGGTCGTAAGAAGTTGGTGAAAGCCTACTTGGAGAACCCTATTATGAATCCGCCGAAAACCGACGTTGGTGATGGTGCAACGTCGGCGGGTGCGGTTGTGGTGCCGCAACCGAATCCTCTGGCTATTGCAGCAGAAGGTCCGATGGCCGCTATTGCCGCTGCCACCGCTACTGCGCCTGAAGTTGAGCCTGCTATTGAGGTTATTCCAGTTGAGAATCCGCCTATCATTGACTTAGCCTCAGATGAGCCTGATGGTGGTCAAGAAATCACTGTTGAGGAAAGACATGCAGAGAATGTTCCTGTTACTCGGTCGAGAAAAAGACATGCAGAGAATGTTCCTGTTGCCGAGGAAAGGATGAAGAAGAAACATGATGCTGGCGATCGAGAGAAGAAAAAAAAGGAGCCCATTATAGATCGGTCCTTCTTGCCAATGGATGAAGAAAGGTTTCTGAATTTCAGGCAGCCTCGGGAATCGGTCGAGAAGTGGTTCTCGACTTTTGAGTCAGTTGAAATTCCCGAGATATCAAGCACGGTCGAGCTGCCTGCCCATGTCATTGATGCTGCTCGGGTCCCTATGATGGTATGGGATCCGAGATCCGAGATCGGTGTATCCTCGCTGGCGAGTGCATATAAATTTAAATATGCCAAGGCTTGTTTGGGTCGCGCACTTGTTAGTTTGGTGATGGCCGAGGATGAATTCCGGCTTAACGCGGCTCAGGTCGACGAGAAGAAGCATACTCTTGAACTTAGAGATGGAGCTCTTGCATCTCTAAGAGAAGAAGCAGCGGTTAGAGAGAAGGAGCTGCAGGTTAAAATCGATGAGCAGGCCGAGCAGCTGACAATTGCTCAAGAAGAGATTGAGGCTTTAAAGGTTGATAAGGCTTCCCTCGATAACGATGTTCTGAAGCTGACGAGTCAAGTCATTACCTCCGAGCAGCGCGTGAAAATGCTTGAAGAGCAGCTATCTCGGTGTGAGAGTCTTCTTCGGAAAGAGCAGGATGCTCATGAAGTCACTCGAAGAAGTCGGTCTGAAGTTGAAGAATTGTTGAAGAAAGACCGAGATGCGCATCTGGCTAAACTCAGCAAGCTTCAGGAAGAGAAGATTAAATTTGCCGAGGAGAAGTATAATGATGGTCTCCGAGCCGGGAAGATCCTTGAGGCAGAGGCGAACCGATTCAAGGCGAAAGCGGAGTCCGACTCTGAGGACGAGGACCGTGAATTTGAGATGAACACCTGTCTCAACCTACGCTGGATGGTTGAGCGTTTTGACAACGGTTTATACGACATTGAGGTTGTCCGTCAATTTCTTCTGCACAAGATTCAAAGCCATAACTTCAATCCCTCTATAGCAACGACTCATGGTCCTTGAGGGTGAAAAGGAGAAGAAGTCTGAGCTTGCTAATGTTTTTGTTAAGACTTTATCCGAAGTTAGCTTGCAGGAAGAACTAGAGAAGATGACTCCTGAGCAGCTTCGGAAGTCGGTCGTGGCTTTCCTCGAAAGAAAAGTGGCTGAGCTATCTCAGAAGGATGATCAGCCGGTGGCGACCAAGGTGGCCGAAGTCGGGGAAGAAGATACAATTTTGAACAAGCATGTCCCTGTGACTCCTTCTGAGCTTGAACAGGCTGCTAAAGCTGAAGAAGATCGGGTCTTCGACATCATCAGCCGTGTCTTGTATGAGGAAATTATCAAGAATGATGATGAAGAGGCAGCCAAAAAGGAGGACAATGCTGATGATGTGGCCAAGGCAGTGGATGAGCCGGCGAAATCGACTTAGTTATATCTGCTTTTTATTGTCATTTTTATTTTTAAATTGTGTTCTCGGTATGTCGGGACACAATCCTTCTATTGTAATGGATAATATTATTAAGTATGAATGAAAATTTCGTTTTAAGTATTTCCATTCATAATTCATACCCAGCATGGCATTTTACTTTTGCTGAATATTTCAAGTGTTAAGAAGTCGGCCAAACTTTAAATTTTTAAGTGGACACCATCTTTTGAGATGGAAACTCGGATATTATCT